TCAGAAAATATTGATTAAGTAGCAACCCCATTCCAGACGTTACTTTAAGCAGTCTAAATACAAAAACCAAATAAGCCCAGACCTCAAGGAACTTAAAATTTAGCAGGGGAAAGGTTGAAGGAGGGTAAAGTTGAGAGAAGATGGCGTCATCACCAAACTCAATCTGAATTGTCTTAGTTCCTGTTTCTTTCTAGGTTTGTTCTTTGAGTGTCCGTCATCACATTCCCTTCCCCCTGGGGTCCCTCCCTTCTTCAGACTATATACCTTTCTGATGCCATAGTCCTTTAGTGTGTTTAGAGGCAATTCCACATAGCCCTACTACGTTTAAAGAATATAAAGACAAAAGTAACAAGCTTACCTCCTACTGGTATACAGTAAGCACTTAATAAATGCTTGTTGTTTGATAGCTTGGTTGATAACCAGTGGATAGCCTATATGTTCAAAGGAAATCCATACATGAGAAGGAGAGGAAAGCTCCCACCATGTTGAGTAGACCCTTCGAGGAGGCCTTTTAGGAGGGAACAGATGTATGCAGATAAGTATAGTACTGGCAGCTAAACGGTGCAGTAGAGAGATCACTGGGCTTGGAATTGGGAAGATTCATCTTCCTGAGTTCAAAGCCAGCTGCAGACACTTACTAGCTGTGTGATCCTGGGCATGTCACTTAACCCTGTTTGCCCAGTTTCTCATATGTAAAATTAGTTGGAGAAGAAAAGGGAAAACCACTCTAGTATCCTTGCCAAGAAAATCCCAAAATGGGGTCTAGAAGAGTCAGACACAGCTGAAAGACAACTGCAAAAAAAAAAAGGTATAATACAAGGTAGGGTGTGATGATAGAAAAGAGACCTCCAAAGTATTCTAAGAAAATTGGAGGAAAAGGAGGAGAGGAAGGAAGGGGGGGAGGAGAGGAGGAGGAGGAGGAGGAAGAAGAGGAAGGGGAGGGGAGGGGGAGGGGGAGGAGGAAGGAGCAGCAGGAGGAGGAGGAGAAAGAAGAAAGCACGTTCAACAAGGACCATCAAGGAAAGCTTCATGGAGGAGATGGGACCTGAGCTGAACCCTTCAGGAAAGTCATGATTATTACATAGTGGAGACAAAGAGAGAAACCATTCCAACGATAAGGTAGGTATATGTACATTTCATATTCTCTTTGGTAATTAAATTTCCCAGAAGCCTACTCAGAGCTCATCAGCTTTCATTGTGCTAATTCTGAAAAGAGGATTCAAATCCTTTAGTAAGACAAGCTATAAAGTAGGACACAGGGGCAAAGTCAGGTAGAGAGATGGGGAGGATGATGGCCAGGACGTTACTTTGACGTCCTGTTCTTCTGTTTGCTGTGCCAGAAAATAAGTGTTCTCTACGAGAGTAGCTAGTTGGGTTGGTGAACTAGATAGAGTGCTCCACTTGGATTCAGGAACATCGAGTTCAAATCCTGCCTCAAATATTTACTAGCTACGTGACCCTGGGCAAGTCTCTTGATCACTTTCATCCTCAGTTTGTGGATGTCGTTATTTTTGTTGTTCAGCTGTTTCGGTTGTGTCCAACTCTTCGTGTTCCCATTTGGGGCTTTCTTGTCAAAGATAATGGAGTAGTTTGACATTTTCTTCACCAATTCATTTTACAGATGAAGACACTGAAGCAGGATTAAATGACTTAACTGGGGTCATGCAGCTAGTCAGTGTCTGAAGACAACTTTGAACTCAGGTCTTCCTGACCCCAGGCCTGGGACTCTATCCACTGCACCACCTAGCTGCCGTCTGTAAAATAAGGATAATAGCACCCATCTTATAGAATTGTTGGAAGTCCTTTAAGTTTGAATAAAGATGAATTTGTCAATAAATGTTTATTAAGGGCCTTCTATGTACCAGGCACTATGCTAAGCACTGACGACACTCTAATACGTGGACCAGATGAGACTAGATAGATAGATAGATAGATAGATAGATATAGATGTAGATACTTGTATATGTAAAATGTTTTGCAAACCTTCAAGTCCTATATAAAGCTTAACTATCATTACTACAAAGCTCCCTGGTTTCCCCAATGAGTAGAAATGACTGCGGTCTCTACAACCTTCCCATTTCCAGTGCTGCGGTCTTGTCATAGATTCTCTTACCTAGCCTCTAGGACTATGCCAAGAAACCCAGAAGACTCAGAGCTACTGTTGTGCACCCTAACCTAACCCCCTGTTGGGAAGGACACTGATGACGTAGGCAGTCCTCGATGTGTTTTAGAAGCATCAAGGATAGTCTACAATGGTTAGACAAGTACCTGCCCAGAAGACACAAATGCAAACATGGGAGTTTGGGGAAATTGTTGGAGTGTTTGTTTGCTATTTGCTGGAACTCCTTGTTACAATCTTGCATTTTGTCTTAATTGAATTTTATTTCTACACTAAGCTGTCAGATCATTTATTCTCGAATGGTTCCAGGATATTCGGCACGAATTGGGGCTCATGAGCTGTGGATTACGACATAGCTAATTGTCCTTTGAGTACCACCAGGCCCAGGTACTATATAGAAGAGAACAGGTAGCCTGTGAGAATTCACAGAGGAAGGAAAGGGCATGTTGAGTTTATGAATTTAAAACTTGTAATTTATGTTGAAGACAAGTTGTGGAGGATTTTAAATATGCCACCTGGTCCTACTCAGAACCAGTTTAATAATCAGAGCACCAATTCTCACAAAAAAGGATCTGTATTCAAATTCCCATTTCTCACCCCATCCCCATCCCCAATTCAACTAAGAACATGGAAATGTATAAAGGCAGTTTGGCTTTATAATACTAAATGGTCTCACCACACAACAGAAGCTGTGATCCCTGACCCCTTTCTCCAAAGGCTCTTCTCTATTCTCAGCTTTCTTCTTTCCCCCTTGACTGGAGAAATCTCTGTCCTTCTCTTCCTCTATTTCCTTATGTCTTCTGTTTTTAACCCCCCTGGAGTCCTCATGAATTGTGTCATAGATGGAAAGAGCCATATTGTTCTATAATGTGTCCTTCGTCTTTGTCTCTTTCTATTTCAAAATTTCATTCAAGGAACAGCAAAGAAAGGTCAGAATGGGCCCTGACTGCCTCACAATGTGCACAATTCTTCACCTGCGGCCCAGGGGCCCACAAAAAGTGGTCATATCCTTTAATGCCTTTAAAATTATCCAGGGAAATCAAAGAAATCCCTTCCAATCCCATCTTTATCACCAGAAGTCCATTGATCAATGTAGGTAAAGGGAGAACACATCAAGGGGAAATGGCATTTAGAAAGTATGATTTGATCCCTACAGCTGAATGGTCACTGCAAGCTAAATTCCCATCTGAACAGAAGGATAAATCAGTAAGAGAATGTCAGGTGTGAAGCTTCTCACTCAGTAAACTCATACACACACACACACACACACACACACACACACAAACACACACACAAGGGATCAACTCCAGTTATTATTAATTACTGCATACATTAGAGTTAGAGAGTATGGTGATGTGCCATTACCATATCTGTAGTGATATAAATGAGACCATAGGAAAGCGAAGCAATGCAAGGAGATTGTTCCAGAAATGTTCTGCTCAACTGGTTCACTGATTACAATAAATCAACCTTAATAATCAACAGATTTAGCTTCTAAATCAAATTGTGCTATGAACTAAATGTATGAATGTGGGCATGACATCTAACCTCCTCAGGACTCAGTTTTACCGTCTGGAAAAGAAGACCATCAGCCTAAATGGTCGTCTGAAAAAGAAAGTTATTGGCCTAAATGGCCTTCTGGTTCTTTAATTCAATCAATCAGCAATTATTTATTAAGAGCTATTATATACCATGCACTTATGCAAGATGCTGGCGATGCTAGAGTAAAGACTGAAACGATCCCTATGCTGAAAAAGCTTATACTCTAATGGGAGAAAAAAGAATGCATGTATATATTGTGCACATACATATGTGTGCATACATGTACACAAGCATATATGCATGCAGATATGTAGATACATACCTATGTGCTTAGATCCAGAAGCAGCTGGTGACACAATGGAGGGAGTACTGGAATCAGGAAGACCTTAGTTCAAATCTGGCCTTGGACACCTACTAACTGTGTGATCCTCAGCAGGGCATTTAACCTGTTTGCCTCAGTCTCTTCAACTATAAAATGGTCATAATAATAACACCTACCTCACAGGGTTGTTGTGAAGATCAGTGAAATAATCATTTTTTTATGTTTTTCTTTAAAGCGCTTAGCACAGGACATAGCATTTTGAAAAAAATCATAATTATTATTTTGGAAAGCTAAGAAATGTTCAATATGCTATCAAGTATCCCATCATTTTCATGGCATGGATATTATTATGATACTATCATAGGTTCTATGCTATGTAAATGCTTATTCCCTTTTCTTCCTATAACATGAATAGAATAAATACAGATATGTACAAAGTTGTTAAGGATATGCTCAGATTCTCAGAGCAATTGTTGCTGAATTGAATGAATTGGTTCTTATTCTGATCACTGCATCTTTGTTCTCACATAATTCAAATATTTTCTATTTTACAGCAGTGCTATTTAAATAATCCTGATGATGAGGCTATTCTAATTATCAAGCCAATAGTGAGTAAATGATTCAAATTGTTGTTCATTCATTCAGTTGCGTCCAACTCTTTGTGATCTCATGGACCAATTGTCCATAGGGTTTTCTTGGTGAAGATACTGGAATGGTTTACCATTTTCTTTTCCAATTTTATGCAGGCAAGAGTTAAGTAATTTCCCAAAGTCACAAGGCTAGTAAGTGTCTGAGATCAAATTTGAACCCTAGTCTTTCTGACTCCAGGACCATCACTCAATCCACTGTGCCACCTAGCTATTGAATAAATTATCCCAAAAATCCAATGGAGCTATGATTCTATCATTGTGGAAATTCCCTTCAGTGACACAAATCACAACTCACCCTCGCATGTTTATCCTTGTCTTGCCATAATATTACCATCAAGGGTCCACCCCACATGTTAGGGTTGTAGCTGGTTATCCAGAAGACAAAAATCCTTGCATGAGCATATAAATATCAGCAGAACACCATACCTGCCAGACATGAGCCCAAAATTCATGTTACTTAAGCTGGTTCTCTTCTAATCTGATTCAATAAACATCATCAAGTGCTCACTATTTGCCTAGGAACTCTACTAGCATGAGGGATGCAAAAATAAAAGGAATTGCCCCTGTCCTTTGCATTCTAATGACTGTATAGTCAATTGTATGTAAGGAAATACACATACCAAAAAGTAAGTATAGTTAGAGAGAAATTATAGATTGGGGAAGGAAGGGGAGGAGAGGTTGGAAAACCAGGAATATTCTCCTCTTGGAGTTTGCACTTAGCTTTGAAAGGAGTTAGACATTTCATGGGCAAGATTGAAAGAACAATTCCTTTAAAAGCAGAACCTTCAGTGACAATCAAAAAAAAAAAAACCCAATAGTTTCTTTGTCCTAATTCCCTCATTTCTAAGTTTCATAGTCCCTATTCCTAAAATTAAAAAAGCATAATTGATAAAGAAATCCCATTTCAACACTTTAAAATGTTTTAGATGTTGCCAGTTCACCACAACAATATTGACCTGTCACTATGCCCTCTTTTCTCTATAGGGAAGTCTCCCCTTGGCAGAAGAGCTATACATATTGGCATGTATTGAAATAGACTGAATCAAATTATCATCTAGTTGAGATGAGGATGTAGCAAGGGGATGTCTCCATGCCTCAAAATTCCTCCGAGAGGAGCCGTAGTGTCAAACTTGTGATATGGTGTCAAGATGAAATATACTTTGAATTTTATTAATAGTATGGCGCACCTTTCAGAACTCCTTCAAGTGTCAGGCTAGAGCTGGGTTGAGTGCTACCAGCAGAGGCTGATGGAGATCAACACTTTTTTTGACACTCTTGCTACCAAGTGCTTATAAAGTGTTTATATCTATAATTGTGTCAAATTATGCTAATTGAGTACTGAAAAGACACTAGTATGTTGAAGGATTCAAAAAGTGTATTACCCAGAGTGTCTCAGAGGGGCTCTTCAAGTTAGGTGCTTGGGGACATTCCTTCCCCCATCTACTGAATACCTCAGAGCATAATGTCTTAAATTATTGTCTTGGTTGTCATTTAATTTTCCAAAGCAAGTTCCAGAGATACACGTACATTTCACTCTAGAATGCAAAATAGTAATAAAAATATTGTTTTCCTTCCAAAAGCATTATCCCCCATAAAAATATCACATTTTAATGGTTGGTTAGTTAATGGTAAAGAGAGATTGTGTGACTCATTGGATAAAAGCTCTATCTTGGCATTAAGAAGAGTCGGGTTCAAGTCTGATACCAACTAGCTGAGTGACCATTGGCAAGTCACCTAACCTCTCAATGCCACAGGTAACTGATCGAATAACTTTAAGTTGCTGAGGAATTGCTGATCTGCCCTGGTGGCCATGGGAGTTCCCCATGCCAATAAATCACAGCCTTGGACCCAAAATATTAATATCAATAATTACAAAGAATATTGGTGTTATTATGAAAGTTACTTTTGTACCCTCTCAGGACCTTGAAGATACTGTCAACAGTAGATGCAAACAAACCAGGTGCATGTATATGTATATGTGTATGTATGACTGTATATATATATATATGTATATATATATATATATATATATATATATATATATATATACACATGTATAGGATAGAGATTATAAACATAGGTTTTACAGAGGGGTTTTAAAATATCCATCTGTATCAGATCCAAAATAAACCAGACATTTTCAGAATGTTAGTACAGAACATTCTACTTCAAGGTCTTTTCTATTGTATGCCAGAATATTCTGCATTTGAGGAATGCTGATAGCAATCCCAAAGTTGCCTAATTCTGACCAGACTCTATTAAAATGATTTTTTCCTACTTTTCTGTTAAATTGTATTTAATCTTTTGTGTCAATGTGTGGAGGAAGATAGTAAAGATATATCTAAACTTTGCCTTAAACTACTTTAATCTCCCTCCCTTCCCCTTTTAGACTTTCATTCCTTCAGCTTTAGCAATCTGATTTCAACACCTCATCTCCTGGAGCGGGGAGGGGGTGATAATACTAAGATTTTCAGGTTCAGGAACCAATGAGAAACTGGTGTCCCTTAGACTAAATACTATTTAGTTTCAACTACACATCCTCTACAGTGCCTCCTGGAGGTCTTTCAACTCAATGGTCTTTTGAATCCCATTGGCAGTGAAGAGGCCTTTTGTCATGGCTGAAGGGGATGGGGAGCTCAGGGATTGGTAATGGCAGATGGAATTAGTCCCGGGTAGAGGCAAAGAGGTTTCATCTATTGTGGAAGATATCAGCCCTCTAGCTGAGCAGAGCAGACTGCTGAGAATACACTTGCCCCAAACCTTTGCTCCCTGTGCCGTGAACATCACCATTTAGCAACCAATTTAAAGTTCTGTACTCATTTTCCAGGATTTTGATGACATGGGTTTCAGTTATGGCAGATATCAACTGATACGATGCTTTTTCCCCAGTGCTCCTATCCCTCTTCTCTGTTACTAGTTTACACAGAGTAAACCTGTCAAGGAACATTTGCATAAAGGACTGAGATTCAAATTCTGTCCAGACCAAGATTTACTCCCAGTGTGAAATTCTATAGAAACTACATTGTAAGGAGCACATGGCAGACCAGGAGTTCTGGTCATTCTGTGTTATTTCCATTTTACATCCCTTAGCTTTGCTGCCCCCCCAAAAAAAGCCCATTTACCTCCCTCTCCCTTACATCTCAGTATGCACAATTGTGTATTCTAGAGGCAATCACTTCTGCCATGTAAAGAGACATGCTGGCAGATGAAAAGATGGTTAGAGCTCTCCTAGCCTAAACTAAATGACCAAATATAGCCTAGGTTAGGAATGATTGCTATCCACTGGTTATTCAAAAGCAGATGAGAACAATCCATGGAGCCACGACACCCAAGTGTCTAACACAAGGGATATTTGATGAATGGGCTTTCATAGACATGAACAGCCCTTAGCAATTAGTTCCTTTTTTAACACCGAAAAGAGAGAGAGAGAGAGGAAGAGGATAGTATCACAATAATATCCATGCCATGAAAACAATGGGATACTTGATAGCATATTGAACATTTCTTAGCTTTCCAAAATGAAAATTATGATTTTTTTTCAAAATGCAAGCAATTAAATGACTGGGAAAACACATAGGGAATTCAATGGAAAACATAATCTCCTGTATTAAAAAATTTGAAATATTCTGTGCAACACACACTGTGATGCCATTTCCCCTGGAAGCATGGAAAGGTGGTACATTGCCATCATGCTATTCCAAAGAGTTTACAATTTGAAATATTGGAGACACGGATTGTTTTTTGCCTTTCTTTGTACCCTCAGGATTTAGAACAATGCCTGGTTAGAGATAATCTAACCCAAACTTTTTATTTTACAGATGAAGAGGTTGAAGTAAATTGCCCAAGGCCACACAGTTGGCCAGTGGCAGAGAGCCATGATTTGAACCCAAAACCCTTAACTTCAAATCTGGTGTTCTTTCCAAGATGTTCCAACACTGTAGCATCATTTACCTTTTGAGAGTTCGCAATAATTGATAGAAAACAGCAGAATGCTTTTGTTCTCAGAATCCACCGGCAATGCTTATCTCAAAGTCAACCTATGTGACAGATCGCTGCCCATCTTTCCTACAAAGCAAAGACCTGGTGGAAAATGGGAAAAAAGAGAATGTTTAATCAAAGTTTTTCTAACTGATGGAGCATTTGTACTGGTAACTTGGATTGGTAATAACATTCTAAGGGGTTAATCCCTCCAATTGAAGAAACTGACCAAAAGGGTGTCCATCATTCCAATCTGTCAGTTATAGCCTCTCTTTTTGTTCTCTCTCTGTCTCTCTGTCTCTCTCTCTCTCTCTCTCTCTCTCTCTCTCTCTCTCTCTCTCTCACTCTAACACATGCACACACAGAGAGACATGTACCCACACATGTGAATAGGCACATATGAACACACACAATTTATCCTTTGAAATTATGAATAACTTTTTAAAAATAGAAGCAGTAAATTAATTCCCATGGGGATGTGTGGTTATCATGAGAAACTCACATCCAGGGATTGAAACAAGACATGGTGGGCAGAACTAGAAGATGGAAAGTAATCGGCCTTTTCATTTAAGATCAAACCACTCAGAGAGACTGGCTTACTGCCAATTTAGAACCTAGGAGCTCTCTAGAAAGCCATCATTTTTTAGCTATGGAGATTTATCTTATTTTATGAAAAGGACGCTCCCTTCTGTTAGGGTATGTACTTCCTTTTGTCCCCCCTGAAGTCAGTCTTAAAGTTAAATTTACTGTGCATAGAGATTACTTGTAGTGAGGGTATATATTTCTTCATCACTAGGATTGATTTGGTTCCTAATGAGGAAAGAAGATGAATGAATGAATGAAAAAACATGGTTTTAAGCACTTATTATGTTTTAAGCACCCTAATCCTGGCATTCTCTAAGACTCAGTTCAAATCCCATCTTCTGCAAGAGTTAGTCAACAATAAATTATGTCACTATGTTACCAACATTTATTAAGCACCTACTACTTATCAGATACTGTGGTTACAAAGAAATACAAAGAAAGGCAAAACACACTTCTTGTTCTCAAAGAACTCACATTCCAATGGTGATACCATATGCAAACAACTGTGTACATATGGAATACATACAGCGAAAGAGGAAGGGTTACCTACATACTACACAGAAACACTGGAACAGGACTTCATTCCTCTAAAAGGGGGATCATTCTTAATGTCCTAGACCGAATGATGTCTGAAGGACTTCTTAGTCTACAAGCTATGAGATAGGTGGTGTGGTAGTTAATCCACTGGTGTAGGAGTCAGGAAGATGGGAATTCAAATCCTGCCTTACGTACTTAATAGCTATGTAACTTTGGGCAAGTCACATATCACCTCTTGGCCCAAGTTTCCTCATCTGTAAAACGAGGGTGTTGGATTCGGTAGGTTCTAAGGCCGCTTCCGGCTCAAAATCCATAATCCTAAAATTTAATAATTATACCTGAATTTGTTTGCTTCAGTGAATTCCCTTGGCAACAAACTTCCTAAGTAAATATCAATTGATCAAAATTTAATTCAGCAAATTTTTGTTTGTTTGTTTTACCGCCTACTACGCATAAGTCTATGCCTGGAATACAAAATTGGACTATATACAGTCCCTGTCCTTAAGCTTAAGCTTACATTCCACTAGAAGGAGTGCAGGGTATGACATGTGCACAAACAGGAACAATGTGAAATCAAGTGTGAGAGTGGCAAAGGAAAAAGCCAGCAGAATGTTCTAAGGGAATTTAGAGAGAAAGAAGAGGACACCTTCAGATGGGGGGAAATCAGGAAAGGCTTTGTGGAGAAGGTGGCATGTCAACTGAGCCTCTGGTTAGAGAAGGTGGGTGTGTGATCCTCCTCCAAGGAGGGCACCCAGGGTATTCACCCCATCATTTCCCACCCAGCTGATTCCATGGCCTTCTGGATCTTTGGAAACTTATCATACTGCAAGGTGACACCAACTGTGAAATTCATAAGTCCCCAGGAGTCCCTACATATAGGTAGGTCCCTTCTCTCTCCCGCCTTGGTTCAGTGAGGGAGGGGAAGGGGATGCTCCCTTTGAGAAGGGCACTCAGGGTATTTACCTCAGAATTTTCCACTCTGACTGAAGAACTCAATCAGTATCCTCCCCCTACCTTTCCAACTTCATTTTCCTATGTCGTCTTCCCTCTCCCCTACTTTAGATTATAAATTCCTAGAGGGTAGGCACTGGTTTGTACCTGTTCTTTCTATGCCCAGTACTTAGAATGGCGTCTGGCACATAGCAGGCAATTAACAAATGTTTGTGAACTCTGATTTTGATTCTTCTTAAAAATCAAGATAAAGGAAGTGTATGTTCCAGACTGGGAGACAGCCCATCTAGGGAAGCCTGCCTCACATTTCTGCTCAGTCCCATACTCACCTAATTTCATAAGCTTACAGAGGTACAGCTGAAAAGATCTGAGAGGCCACTGAGTCCAAGCCCCTTTTTTACACATAAGAAACCTCTGAAAGGTTAAGGTATTTACCCAAAATTACACAGATGATAAGTAACAGTTCCAGACTGTGAGCCAAGATCCTCCAATTTCACTTCCAGCATCTTTCCATTGTATCACTCTGTTTTGTTCATCGACTTTGTCAATGTATTGTGGGCACCCCTAAAATATGATACTCCAATTCAAACCAATTTTTAACAGTATATTCAACTACAAACCTGCTACATATTTCAAATTCAGTGTGATCATTCTTGAACGATGGCAAGGGGAGTAAGGGTTTAAGGTAGAATTGGGAAGATGAAATTTATAAGCATGAAGACCCTTCATAAAGCAGGATGAAATAGGGTCTCTAATAAGGTAAAGGTAGAGAGTTAATGTCTGAAAAAGGAAAATGTTAAAGGCTCCAAGAAAAAAAAAACTGAAGAAAATTTAAAAAAAGAAATTTTTTTAAATGCTGACTGTGAACACAAAGCATTCAAAGTTTGAAGTGTTTACACAAAAAAGAAATCTTTCTATAATCACCCAACCTTTTTAAAATAACCAGGTTGCATTTTCCCCTTTCACAAGCCCATGTAAACTAGAAGAACTAGAACCCAAGACTCCGACTGAACTCTTCTCTTCTTTCAAAAACTGCCGGGTATACTTGACATAGCTGGGGTCTTGGTCATAACGTTCAGTTAACAGTATCTCCGGACACACCGTTCTCCTTATGACTTGCAGGGAAATCATTTTTTTCAATAATGATTTAGTGATTCCTTCCTATCCCCTCGTCATTTCTTTTTGTGGGTGTGCTGTGTGTAGGTACAGCACCCTGGGCATGCTCACGGCCAAATACTAACCAGCTTGATCGTGCGCCACCGGTGCTAACTGACAGAATCACAGCAGGAGGCTGCATGACTGGGAATCGATGACTGCAGAAGCGGGACAGAGGCGATCTTTTAAAACAAGCTATATGCCAGCAGATCTGAACAGTACAGAGATGAACGTAACAAGCAAGAGCTGGTCATTCTGAGTTAAAAAGAATCTCAGGCATGCAGCTGAGAGGGATCTGGAATCATGGAAGTCTGGAACTGTTTTCTAATAATAAGTAAATAGATAGATGGGTGAGTGGATGGAAAGATGGATAAATGGATGGATGGATGGATGGATGGATGGATGGATGGATGGATGGATGGATGGATGGATGGATGGATGAAGAGCCAGGTAACAGTCAACAAGCATTTATTAAATATTTTCTCTGTGCCAAGCTCTAAGCTGGGCAAAATGAGGGATTCAAGGAAGAAAATAATACCATCTCCACCTTCACAGAACTTAGAATCTTATTGGGGTAAAAAGTAAAATTTAAAAATACTGCTTGTAAAATCTGTAATTTCATTAAACTTGTTTTTGTACCCTCCAATGCATAATGTGATTTTGTTTACTTGAGTATGGGACCTTTGCTTACCTGCTATGATGGAGGGAAAAAATGCAGACTTTCTCAACTGAGGGAGGAAAATCACAAAGAATCACAGCTTCAGTGGCCATCTAAAAACAACATGGTGTAATAGGAAAAGGGCTAGACTTATGGCCAGGACAAATGGGTTCAGACCCAGATCTTCCATTTACTAGATCTGCATGATCATGGGTAAGTCATTCAACTCCTCTATACCTTGGTTTTCTCACCTAAAAATAAAAAACTAGATGTTTCAGGATCGCAGATTTATAGCCAAATGGACCTTACAAGATCACTGACTTCAGCTCACTCAATTTACAGGTAAGAAAACTGAGATCCTGTGAAAAGTGGCATTTGGACTGCATTTTGAAAGGGAGCCAAGGATTCTAAGAGACAAAGATAAGGAGGAAGAACACTGCCCCACTATAATATAGCCAATAATGGTTATTATCCAGCCTCTACCTGCAAACTCTAGTGAAGAGGGGCCCACCCCGTGCCAAGGCAACCCAAAACTACGGATTGTTCTATTTGTCAGGAAGTGTTTCATTACACCAACAACTGAACCACAGAAAGACAAACACTGGACCTAAACTCAAGGGAAAGACTGATGCAGTGAGTCACAGAGAACTCAGACAGAACAGAGCCCAGGACTGCCTTCTGTGGACTTTTAAGGATTGCCTCACCCCTATGTCTGCTCAGCTTTTGACTTCAGCATCACACGCTCCTCCCCTGTCCCCTTGCTAGAAAATGATGTCGTCTCCTTTATCTAAGGCCACTTACTAGCTATGTGACCCTGAACAAGTCACTTAACTTCTGTTTGCCTCAGTGTCTCCCCCTGTAAAATGGCAATGATAGCATCCATTATAAGCAACTCACAGGGATATTGTGAGCATCAGATGAGGTGATATTTGTAAATGTGTTTAGTGCCTAGAACACTTACTAGCTATGTGGCCCCGGGCAAGTCACTCAACCCCATTGCCTAGCAAAAGAAAAAGAAAAAAAGAAAAAAGTCAAGAGCACTAGTGATGGGCCAGGATGCAGTGGATGCTCTTGGTGTTTTCTATGGCCTGACCAAATTCTAGGTGTTCCACAGCACCTGCTTCACCTGTCTTCATGGCCATTGGAACAAATTGTTCTCATCTTCCCGTCCCCCAGAAGACTTCTTCACCTGCTTGGAGTAGACACCCCCCCCACT